CCTCGTCCTCGTCCTCCTCCCCTTCATCCTCCTCCTTCCGCCCAGTCCCGCTCCTTGCCCCCCCCCCTGCTGGCCCGGCCCCGGCTGGGCCGCCGGGGCCTCGCTCTCTCTCTCTCTCTCTCTCTCTCTCCGCCGCGCCGCGCGCACGCCTTCGCGCCTCCCCACCCTCAAGTCGGGCAGAAACTCGAGGGTGTTCACGTGTCGGGCCCTGGGATGCGATACTATGTCGGCACTGTTTCGATACTTCTTTGGGTGCTCGAAATTATTTTTGGGATGTGGCCTTACGTACGATTGGAGCAACATAACTCTACAGGAGGAATACTCAAGAATTGGCAAAACAGAAGTCTCGGGACGATGTTTCTGCTACATTGGCTCATTCTTGAGTATTTTGTCGATTATGTTTGGGTTTTCGACGGGGATCCGCCTGTAGGAGAACATGCCGGACCTAACCCTACGCCTACCCTTTTCCTCTTCCCGTCCCTCGCCGATTTCGGCACTTTGCTTGCAGGAGTCGTGCCCCACAGCGAGCTCCGCTGCGGCGCCAGTGGGCGCGCCCGCATGCGGACCCCCGCCAGATCCGACACACCCTTCACACGGCTCGTGCCCCAATAGAGGCAGCTCCATCTACAGATGCCAGTGCAGGCGTTCGTGGGCGGTCCCCCAGCGAATTACGGCAGATCCGCCGTCACATAGGCCGTGCCCAATAGGGAACTCCACAGAGGGCGCCGGCATGCGGTCCCCAGCCCATTCTCGCGCAGCCTTCAACAACATGGCCACGGCACGATACGGTCACGGTGCCAGAGCGATTAGTTTGGTCCTTTTGTCACCGCCCTTGCAGGTTTTGCGGGTCTTTCCCCCCAGAATAATTTTCAAATCACCCGGAGGGTTGCGGGGGTCCAGATGCCAACTCCGTCCTCCACTCGGGTTGACCCAAAAGGGGGTCCAGCGACAACGAGGTGGTGCAATACATTCGGTGCAATAGATTTGTGGGATTGCAGTGCATCTGGGGCGTGCAATACATTCCAGGGCTCAAATGTATTGCTGGATTTTCGCGTGCAGAGCATTATTTGCAATACAATGCAATACAAGTCTCCGGCGCGGTACATTTGCAATACAATTGCCCGAACTCTATTGCACCACCTCTTTGCAGCTGGATCCCTTCTTGGGTCGCCCAGAAGTCACCTCGGGGCTAGTTGGCTTTGTGGGGAGCATGTGAGGCCATCTTGGAGCTCTCGTGGAGCCTTGCCCACTGCATCTTTGCCTCTGGAGCGGCGTTGGACGCCGGCTGAGTAGAACGAGGCGATTCTTAATCGGTGGCACCAGATCAGACGTCTCGGGGCCATCTTGGGCCTATATTGGGGTGGTCTTGGGGAACGTGTGGGCAAGTATGTGGCCCCGTTGGGCCCCCTTCTTCTCTATTCACAGAATATACATGTTATATATATATATATGTATCTCTATATGTGGGTGTGCATGTATTTATGTATGCATGTATGCATGTATGCACGTCTAGGTGTGTATACACAGCTATATATATATGTAGTATAGTATAGTTGCTCTGTCTTTCTCTCCCACACTCTCTCTCTCTCTCTCTCTCCCTCCGCATACCTGTATATGTATGTAAACAGACATACGCATAGACACATACTAATAGCGCGGGGTGGATGCGCGCGGCCCCCAAGCAGGTGCCCCGAACCTCCATGGGCGGACCAGGGCCCCAGAGTGCTCTCAAGAACCCCTGGTGACGGTCACGACTGGCCCCAGAGCGGTCCAACGACGGCCCGAGACGCTCCGAGAAACCTTCAGGCCCCTTTCCAAGGAGGCCCCAACAGGTAACACAAATGCGTTCCCATTCGTTGCGTCTATGCTTTTAGCGTTTTCGTCTCATCGGACTTCCGACTCCACGAACCTGGCGCGACCCGACTTAAGGGAAAGTTTCTTGCTGCATGGGCGCATTGCTTGGCATTGCTCGGCATTTCTCGGCGTTGCTCGGCATCGCTTGGCATTGCTGGGCATTGCTAGGCATCGCTTGGTATTGCTTCGCATTTCTTGGCATTGCTTGGCATTGCTTGGCATTGCTGAGCATTGCTTGGCATAGCTTGGCATTGGACGGCCCAAGAGGCCCCCTAGACCTCGCCCAGACGGCCCAAGACGCCCCCAAGACCGCCCCAAGACTGCCCGACACGGCCCCAAGACAGCCCCAGGAAGCCGCAAGACGGCTCCAACAGGGGCGCCAGAGGGAGAATGTGGACAGAAGATCCGAGACTTCCGCCCCGACAGACTCTCAGAAGGCCCAATCGCCCCGCAAGAGATCCCGAGAGGCCTCCAAGACCCCTCCAAGAAGGCCCAACACGGCACCACGACGGCCCTAAGGCGCCCGAGATGGCCCCAGAAGGTCCAAACAAGTCCCCGTGAAGGGGTCTCGGTAGCGGTATCGTTCGACAACGCTCATCGTCAGCCTCAAACGAACAATGGAACATGAAGCCAGCAATTGTGCACAGCGCATTCCCACAGGACCCTTCTGGAACACGATGGAGGAGAAGGGAGGTCAGGAAGAGGAAGAGACAAAGGCGGAGGAGAATGAGCAGGAAGATCTCGTAATCTCCCACTTCCCTTGGCCGTGCGCGTCGTCGCACTCGGCGTATTCGCTGTCCGGTTCGGCCTGGTCTGGGATTAATTTCGAAGCCGGTTCGGTTTGGCTTTGTTCGAGTGTCGAAAACGACCGGTCCGGTTCGGTGCGTACCGCGTTGAAAAAATTACCGCTTCGCACTCGCTCGGTTCGGCCCACTTCGGTTCGGGCAGTTCGGCTTGCTTCCAGAACCATTATGTTGACATTATTGTCGTGGTCGCCGTCGTCGTGTTCGTTCGTTGTCGTCATCGTTGTCGAGGTCGTCTCAGTCGTCCTCGTCATCGTCGTCGAGTCCGTCGTTGCCGTCAAAATTAAACATCTAGTTTGCAATAGGCAACGTCTGTGCTAGAACCTCAGCGCGCGAAGCGCGCGCATGTTTGTAGCGTACATCCTAACACATATATATATATATGCATATGCATAGGCGTGTAGTTTTGTGTCGGCATTGGTGTGCTCTCTCTGTCTCTCTCTAATTGGGTTCTCTCTCACTCCTTATTTGTTTATGTCGCTCTCTCTCGTTCCTCTCAGTCTGGTTCCCTCTCCGTCTCTTGATCTCTCTCTCTCTCACTCTCTCGTCATATTCTTCTTGTTTGTTCTTCTCTCTCTCTCTCTCTCTCTGTATGCATATATACACATGCATATACACATAGATGTATCGAATGCCTTCGGCCCATCCCGCCACCGTGCCTGGGTTGTGGGTCAGAGTCCACAAGGACGCTTACTGGGGTCTCTTCGGAACGCTCTCGGGGGCCTCTTCGGGGCAGTTTCGGGGCCTCATGGAAGCCTCTTGGGAGCCCCTTGGGAGCCTCATGTGGACCTCTTGGAGCTTCCTGGGAGCCTCTTCTCGTGGGCCTCGTGGGGCTATCTGGGGGACTCTGTAGGCCTCTTGGGGCGCCTCAGCGGCCTCTTGGGGCCTCCTGGGGGCCTCTCGGGGCCGAGGGCTCGAAATGTCCGTTCGGGTCCTCCATCTGGGCTCCCTCTCGGAGCCGTCTTTGGGGGCTTCTTGGGCCGTCTTGCAGGCCTCTTTGGCCCATTGGGGGCCGTTTGGGAGGCATCTTGGGCTGCTTGGGGCGATATTTGGGGCATCTTGGGCTGTCTTGGAGCGTCGGGGAGCCGAAAAGGCGAGACCGCCACAAATTTTCACCACCTGAGGCACATGATTTTTGCCTCGCGGGTGCCCTCGAGAGACCTCTTGGAGGGCTCTTTGGGCGTCTTGGGGGCATCTTGGGCTGTCTTGAGACTACCTTGGGCGTCTTGTAGCGATCTTCCGGCGACTCGGAACCCTCTGGGACCCTCTCGGGGGCTTCTTGGAGGCGTCTGGGTATGTCCGGGGGCCCTCTTGGGGCCGAAACAGACACGCGAGAAGCCGCGACGGGCCTCTGGGGCCGCGGCGAGTCCAGGAAAGATCCGGCCATTTTTTGTCAGGGCGCCTCTGAACAAGTCTCGGGAATGAGGACTTAGGCTCCAGGGGATCGAACAAGGCACCTGAGGACACTCCAGCTCCTGCCTCAAGGGCACCGTGGTGGATGTACACATAATACACACACGTATCATTATTATATACATATATAGATATGTATATATATGTTTCTCTCTCTGTCGTTCGCGGTCCTTTGTTATTTCTCCCGCTCTCTCTCTCTCTCTTGTTATGATCTCTATTACTGTTCCTCTTGTTTGTGTTCTCTCTCTCACTCTCTCCCCTCTCGAAGGCCGATGATCTCAGAACAAGTCATACGGTTGTCGTATGCCATTGTCTCTAAGAGCATTGCAACATCCCGAATTCTGTAATTGCGCTGAAGAAGACCGGCGTGTTCAGCAACTGAAGCCCATTCACTGTGGGCCGGCGGATTACGACGACTCCGACTTCACAGCGGGGGAGATGTGTTGCGCATGCGGGGGTGGAAACAATAACGTCCCCCCTGTTACTCCCACCCCAACCTATGATGTGTGGGGACCTGTCTCTGGCGACTGCACGATTGATGGAGTGTGCGTGGAGAGCCCCAACTTTCCGATGCCGTACGGCACGAATCAGAATTGCGACTTATTGGTCGACCCCGAGATGATTGCACTGGAAGCGATCCTCTTTGTGGAGACCTTCCAGACGGACCCAGGAGGCTCTGACAGGCTTAGGGTCAACGGAATTACGTATTTTGGGACCGATGGCCCAGATCAGATCGCACCGACAACTTCGATTCATTGGACTTCTGATGGCGTCGACGGCTCCTCGGAGGAGGCCGAGCTATACGGCTGGAGGTTGTGCCTGGTCATGCCGCCGATCACGCTGCCGCCGCCCACGCTGGCGCCGTCGCCGCAGCCGACGCCGGAGCCGCCCACGGCGGCGCCCGCTGCGAGCCCCACTCCGCCGCCGACGCCGGTGCTTCTGCTGGCGGCCGGAGACCAGATCACGGTCATCGCAGGAGGACGAATGGAGACCCGAGATCTTGGCGTCGCACTCTTTTTCACCTCGGGGGCCGCCCAGGTTCGGGCTCTGGGGCCATCCTGGATCGATCGATGCGGCTCGAAACATTCAGCAGCAAGATGGGGTTTTGGGCTCCAGTTTCGATTTTTCGCTATGCTGCCTTTCTTTCGCTAGGCCGGATCTCGGGGGAGGAGGTCGAGTTGAGACAACGGTAGTTGGCTTTCGGGAGGGAACTTCGTCGCCACGGCTGGACACTGCTCGGAATATTGTTGCGATGATGAAGGCTTCGGATTTGAGTTGTCGTTGTCTCAATTCGCTTTGCTCCAAGGTCAGAGAAGACCAACAAACAAGCGTGAACATACTCTGTCAGAGGGCCGCGCGACTTCTCTGGGTGGGCGCTTGACCTCCTCTGACCGTAGTCTTACGTCGGGCACGTCCCTGTACAAGAGGAACACTCAAAAGAGTCAAAACAATACCCTCGGGAGATTTTTCTAGTATAGTTGACCATTCTTGATTATTTTTGGAGTATTTAGCATTTGGACTATTTGCTTGATTTTTTTGTTGACCATGTTTGATTGAGTGCTTTTGACCATTTGTTGGTTGTTGGATTTTTGACCATTTTTTGATTTGTTAGATTGTTGGATTGTTGGGTCGATGTTGATCATGTTTTGACAATTCTTGATGTGATTTGTTGATTTAGATTGTTTGCATTTGACAATTTGTTGACCATGCTTGATGATTTGTTGCTGACCACAGTCCGCCTGTGGGGGGACCTGCCCGACCCCACCGCAGCCCTGGCGCAGGCGCGCCAGGCGAAGGGCCGGGGAAGCGCCTCAAGAGGGTGCGGAGGGCGGGGGGGGGAAGACTGGCGTCGGCCCATCAGATCTCAGCGAACCTCGGAAAGTTTATGGCCATGCAGTGGTCGGATTGACCCCACGATTAGTTTGGTCCTCTCGTCATTGCCGGTGCAGGTTTTGCGGGTCTTTATTCCTGCTTTTCCCCCCCCAGAATATGTTTCAAGCTATCCGGAGGGTTGCTGGGGTCCAGATGCCAACGCCAAAAGCGCCGCAAAAGGGTGCGGAGAGAGGGGGGAAGACTAGCGTCGACCCAACAAATCTCAGCGAACCTGAGACAGTTTACACGCCGGTCGTTGAAAGTAGGTATTTTTTGAATCCCAGATCCCAGTCTACTTCAAGCGCCTTCCTACTTCAAGGATCGACATGCTTTTGCAGTGTTTTGTTGTTCTCTGGGAGGACCTGGACCCAATCTGCTGTATCCGCCTTCCTACTTCATGTTTCTACCTACTTCTTCCGACCGACGTGTATGGCCATGCAGTGGTCGGATTGACCCAAAAGGGGGACCAGGGACAAGGAGGTGGTGCAATAGATTTGGTGCAATATATGTATATATGTATATATGTGGTGTTGCAATACATTTGAGACGTGCAATGCATTCCGGGGCGCAAATGCATCGCTGGATCTTCGCGTGCAATACATTACACGCAGTACGATGCAGCACAATTCCCCGGCGCAATACACTTGCATCACAATTGCCTCAAATCCATTGCACCACCCCTTTTCAGCTGGACCCCCTTTTGGGTCACCGGTCACCTAAAATTGACTCAGTCTTCCAGGTCAGCCTCGGCAATAGCACGACCGACACAAAGTGCGTTACGGTCGCGCAGCCAGTGTCTTGTGCATCCGATGCGTGGTCTTGGTACGCCTCAGAGGAGCGCGAGGTCGCAAATGCCCCGTAGGTCTTCAAATCTTCAATTTGACAACAAAGCTTATAGTTGTGTGTGCACATCTGCGTACATGTATTAGACATAGGTGTCAAGGTACACATACATATGTACGCACGTCGATGTTTCTCCTCCAGTGCATGTGCATGCATTCGTATGTGTATACATGCGCGATGTATGCAGATACAGCTATACACAAACACATGTGTATACATATTTGTATATATATGCATGTATATGTAGGTGCATGTACATGTATTTGTAATGTACTGCCGTCCGGCCCGATCCGCCGATCAAGATAGTTCAGTGTTTTGGGTATGTAGCCCTCGAGGTCCAAGCTTATTCATTCGAAGCTCAAATTTTCGAATCCACATTTCCATGGCGGTGGCGAAGGGGAAGGCTCCCGCGAGTCGAAGAGCCACAGCAGCCTCCAGCGGCACAGTGATGCAGGATGATGCAGAGACCGACGGTGACCCAGCTGCGATTCGGAGGCAGCACGTAGTGAATCAAAAGGCTGGACAAGCCAAGCCCATGAGTGAGTTGATAATGCACTTGTAGGGCACTGGGAAATATTGCAGTTTGTTGCGGAGCATGCCTGGCGACGGCAGGTAAGCGAGGATGAAACGGTTGCCGCGTTACGCAAGTATTACGTATTGTTGCGGATGTGACGAGGGGGTTGGAAAGGTTGAAGCAGATTGTAATCGAGTGGATTGCAGTGGTCTCGCGAGCTTGGGAATTTCAGACGATGCATATCTGCAACGAATGCCGCCAGGCAGGAGGACCGTGTAGAGTGTTGCGGAATCCAAGTGAAACAGCAAAGCCGTTCCAGAAGTCTCGGCCCCAAAGTCTGCAACGAAGGCTGCTCGGGTGGAAAGGCGTAGTAGATCCGCTGTGCGAGGACAGTGCCGCGAAGGCCCGGGGTGACTTCGGCTTATCAGGCAACGCGAGTTTTGCGACAGGGACACCCTTGTACAATAAGGGGAAGGATTTCCATGACGCGGCGAAGGGGCCCGCCCGTGCCTGAAGGAGTCGGAACTTCTGCCAATTTTCATCGGAGGGTTGTCGTGACACCGTTCCGACGGAAAGAGCGACAACAGGGTTCGCAAGTATGCGCGCGAGATTGCGTTGCGATGTGCGAAGCGCTTCTGTCGGTGCAGCGTGCGAAGATTCGATCTACGCATCCACCCAAGAGGACCGTTTTACGGCCCCTGAGCTGCAACTGTTGGCCAACATCCAGCCCGTCTACACAGGGTCTCCATGTAAAAGGTGTCGATCAACCAGCCCAGGAGGCCGCCATCCCTCCAGCGCATCTACAGCGAACCCCTCTTTAAAAGCTGCAAGTCCCGCGTTCCTCCCGTTCCCCTTTGGAACCACCTCCTGAGCATAGCCATCGGTCAGGTTAATTCGTCGCCCAAACAGTGACGCCTTGAACTTACGCGCCGCGTCGGTGCATACTTTTTTGTACATATATAAATGTATATATGTATATATACATACATAAATACACAAACATACATACGAACATACATACAGACAGACACATATACACACACTTGGAGAGGGTGCTGGAGGGTCCTGGGCGAGGGCGGGAAATGCTTGATGCTCCGCGTATCCCCACCAATTCGCACCGTTCCGCCGCCCCGGGCGTCGCTCCCTATCCCTTGCCGTCGCCTTGGAGCCGCTAACCAAAAAGTATCCCCACCAATCCGCCACTCACTCGTTTCGCCGCCACCCACATTTGCTTCGACGCGCCCGACGTCTCGCCCCCCTTGCCAGGATGCATCGCCCTTGCTGCGGTCGGCCCCCCGCGTGCTGCCCCTCGTACAGACGCAGGCACTTGCGGTTTCCGCTATCTCCCGCGGGTGTGGCCCACGCCGCAGTCACGAGCCACCACACTGCCAGCTACTGACCCGCCGCTTTGGCGTGCACGTCCGGCGGTTACTAGCTGCCGATGGCACCCCCTTCCGTGAGCGCCGCGCGGCCCGCCCCGGATTGTTTCACTTCCCGCTGTTTTCTTGTTGTCGCTGTTCTCCTGTTCTGTTCCCATGTCTCTCGTTTCAGCTGTAGCTCTGGACGGCGCGCGGCCCTTTCCGTATGCGCTCGCGAACCAAAAGGATCCCCACCAACCCATCCAGAAACAAATCGCTAAGCGAGTTGCCTTGATCAGGGCTGTGCAGAATCACGCGGTGCAACAACCGCATTAGGAACGTTTTCGCGGAGGCCTCTTGGAGTCATCTTTGGACTTTCTGAGGGCCCTCGCGGAATCTATTGGGGCATGCTTGCGACCATTTTGGGGATTGTTTTATGGTGTCTCTTGGGGCCGACCTAGATTTTTGTTGCTGGGGGGTCTGGGAGGCCTCTTGGGGCCGTGTTGGGCCCCATGTTTCAAATGGATGGGGGGTCGCGGACCCAGGTCCTTCCCCCGGACGCTGAAAGATCACATGTCAGGTTTTCTTGGAGCGTTTTTGGGGCGCTCTTGTAGTTGTCCTTGGGTTTTTGTTTGATCCCCATCAGGGTTTTCCTGAGCCGTTTTGGGGCCATCTTGAGGCCTCCTGAGCCCATCGGACGTGCAAGATGCGAAAAGGCAAACGACACTGGCATCCTTTAGGTCTTGGGGCAAGTTTGGTTTCTCGAGGGGGTCTTTGGAAGACTCGAGGGGCACTGGGAACCGCCTTGGGGCCGCATTGGGGCGTCACCGAGGCATGTCGGAGGTTATCTCGAAACACGTTCGGCTATCGTGGGCCATTTTGTAGGCCATCTCGAGTTGCCCCAGGCCCTCTTGGAACCATCTCGGACCAGTTTGGGCGCTCTGCCTACCCCGCCCGCCCGTCCCAGGCCCCGGGGAGAGAGGCTCGGGCGAGGGGTGGGGTAAACCCCTCCCCCCCAGCACGGGAAGGAGAGGCTGCAAGATAAACGAAGTACACGAGCTCGTCAAATTTCCTACGCTTAAGTCGGGCTTGTCCTCCTACAGGACAGATATTCAAATATAGTTAAACAACACGTGGGGACGATGCTTTCGTCCTTTGGGGTATGTTTGGAATCTGTTTTGTCTGTTTATGAATTTTCCTCCAAGCTCATCCCCCTGTAGGGGGACAGCCCTGACTTAAACCTGCGCCCAGAGGGCTGGTAGGATGGCCAAGGGGCCGTGCCCCCCCCCTGCCGCGGCCAGGGGGTCCACAATAGTGTGAAGTCGGGCGTCTCCCTCCGCAGAGGGGGAATATTCAAAAGTAGTAAGCGACAGTCTGGGGACGATTCTTTGATTAGGTTTGAGTAGTTTGGAATACTTTCTGGGATTTGTTTTAATTTTTCGTCCAACGCCCGCCAGTAGGGGGGACACGTTTTCAATTGTTCGTCCAACGCCCGCTTGTCGGGGGACACGCCCGACCTCACAACAGCGACAAGTCGGGCGTGTTCTTCTACAGGGGGAATATGAAAACATAGTGAAAAATAGTATGCGGACGATTGTTCCTCAAGTTAGATCATTGTTGGGCACTTACTATTTGTCGCCCCGAATCCGCTCGTAGGGGGGATTTGCCCGACCTAACGATCGTGTTCCAAGATGGCCCAAGATGGCTCCAACTTGGTTCCGGATTTGTCCACGTCGGTTCCAGGCGCGCGCAGTATAGCCCACGATGGTTCCAGATTGTTGCCAAGAGGCCTCAAGAGTCCCCAATGATCCTCCAAGGGGCCCCCAAGAGATTCCCGAGGAACCAGAATCAGTGACGGAGTGTCGTTTTCTCGCTTCTCTGAGTTTCCGACGTTCCAAGACGGCCCGATATGCCTTCAAGACCGCCCCTATGGCGGCCCCCTAGAGCGCTCCCAGGCTGCCTAAGAGCGTTCCACGACGGCCCAAGGTGCCCCTAAACTCCTAAGGACGGCCCGAGAGGGGCCAAGATGGCCCCAGAAGGACGATCTCGAATGGAGAGTCCGCGCTCTCAGCCCCAGGGTGGCCCCCGAGACCGCCAGTGGGCCAGCCGGCAGGCCGCGCGGAGGCCGCCCAGAAGCTGCACTAGCCCCCCCCCCCCCCCCGGATACCCCGAGCATGCCCCTTGGCCCAACTTGGCATCGCTCGGACGTGTGCATTTTTTCTCGGCGGGAACCATCGAGGACCATCCTGGACCATCGAGCCCCAAAAAAACACGCACGAAACCGAAACATGCACGGGAAATGGACGTCCGAGCGACGGCAAGGAAGCTGCACTAGCCCCCCCCCCCCCCCAGACCCCGAGCATGCCCCGAGAGGCCCGCGACGGTCCTCCGATGGGCCTCACGTGGAACTGTGTGCCGCGGACCCAGGAGCCGTGCCCGGCGGGAGATGGGCAGAGGGCGCTGCCAGGCTCATAGTATTGCCGTTCCGCCCCTCTCCCGTCTGTTGTGTCCCCTATCTCCTGTTTCGGGTATGGCCAGGACCCCGGGTAAGGGGACCCGGTTAGTGGTAGGGCCCCGGAGCCTTCGAATTGGCCAAAATGTAAACCAGGTTTGCCATAGTTGGTGTTTTTTCGGGTGACGGCAGTTCCGGTCAGTGGAAATGGGGACGGGGGGGCGCCCCCTGTACAGATCACTAAACCAGGTTCCACCAAACCCAGTTCTACCAACGCCCGACTGTTGTCCGTTACGTTCCCCGTCCCACACGTTGATCTTTCCCGTGTCCCTCTCCTCCCCTCCCCCGTCCCCCTCCTTCAATCCTCTCTCCCCCTCTCTCTCTCTCTCTCTCTCCCTCTCGCTGTCCTCATAGCTAGATGTATGTCTCGTATATGTATATACATACATGTGTACATATAGGTAAAGACATGTTATCATACGCGCCTCTCACGCACGTCGTCGTGAATCTCTGCTTCCACCTATCCTCCTGGCTCGCTTTCCTTTACGCTCTCCCAGGAGCCCCAGGTGGAGCACTGTGCGGAGCCGTTTGCGTCGTCTGGCTGTGAGTCCAACGGCGGCAACTGCTCCACGGTGTTCGTGCCGAGCCTTCACTTGTGCGTGGAGTGTGCACAGGACGGTGCGACAATCCTTACGGAGGAGACGGTGTCCTCATTGGACACGCCCGCTACGTGGTGCACGCAGGTTGTGGCTACATCCGAGGCGGCGGGAGGGAGGGTGGGACTCCTGCCAGGTTCCCGAACATTATGTGTTTCCGTAGTCTCTGAAGTTGTTATGTGTTTTGCTGTTGTTGTTTGTTTTCGTTTTTTCGTGGTAGTGCAACAGGGTTCAGTGGCCGAATATTGATGATACCTGCAAATGCCATTGGAAAACAAGGTTTCAGTCCAACGGGGAACCAAGCATCCTTGTGGCCTCCATTTCTTGTGTTTTTGGTCGTCTCACAAGTTTGTTTTTCGTTTCTTAGTGTCAAAGGTTTTGTGGCCATAGGTTGAGAAAACCAGTGACCTCTTAATACCGTGTTGCGGCGTCTGAGGAGTGTATTGGGCCGTTTGAGACCATTTGGACTGATCTTCAGGTTTCTCTGGCGTGTTTTTCCTCAATGGTTCGTTTTGGACAGGATTTTGAGCATCTTGAGGGCGACGCAGGGTGGACTGGGAGACTCCGAGGGTCCCAGAGCTGCAACGGAGAGTTTGCAGGGGGCGCCTTCTCTTCGTATGGGGACCCCTTCCCCCTTGAACGATATTCTGGGCCGGATCTCCTGCGCCAGAGCCGAGCCGAATCAGCGTGCCGCTGCCGCTTAGGTAGTGTCAATTCGCTTCGCGACCAGTCCCATCCTATCTCGTTGCCCTCTCCCTCCTCCTCATCCCCCGTCTCCTCCTCCTTGTCCTCGTATTCGTCCTCGTCCTCGTCATCCTCCTCTTCCTCCTCCTCCTCCTTTTCTCCCTCCCTCATCTTAAGCCCATCCTCCTCCGCCTCTCTCCTCCTCCTTGTCCCCATCGTCCTCCCTCCTCCCCCCTCCTCCCCCTCGTCCCCCTCCTCCCTCCTCCCTCCTCCTCCTGCCCACCTCCTACTCCTCCTCCTCCTTCTCCTCCTCCTCCTCCTCCTTCTCCTCCTCCTCCTCCTCTCCCTCCTCCTGCTCCTCCCACTTCTCGATCTCCTCTTGGGGGCATGCTGGGCCCCTGCCTCTTCTGGCCTCCCACGCGTCTGGTGCCAAGGCGCCGACGCCGACCCCAGCACCACCTGCGACGCCAGCACCACCTGCGCCGGAGGTGGCCCGTCCTTCAAGCAGTGGCGAGGCGCCCCGGCGTGCCTATAGGCCTACCGAGCAATTTTCTAAGAACCTCTTGTGGTTTCCACGACATGTTCTTAGAACACGTCTGTCAGGGACTGCCTTGTTCTAACGCATGGGGTCGATGTTCTCAGGACATTATTCTTGCTCTTAAGGCATGTTTGGGTTCTAGGAACATTTCGTGGTAGGCCTATCGGAATGCCAGGACGGCCGGTCCCTGCTCAAGTCCTGCCTCCGCTCCTCTCCCCATTCCCGCTCCCCAGCTTAACAGTGTCAGAATCGTCGTCGTTAACACCACCATAGTTACACAAGTCCAGAGTGTTTTACACTTTTGAATAGTGCGCAGGATTCAATAACGAACGGGTGCAGTCGGGTCGCTGAAGAAGGAACTCTTTACGTTGGGAAGAGGCTCCGTGTTCTTTAATTGTTTCATATCTTGCTTCAGGTGTTCCTTCTGTTTTCGATGAGAAGTCGAAGTTTAACTTATGGAACAAAAGGGGCCTCGTTCCGTATTTAGGGTTCCTTAGGTCAACGCCCCGATTGTATTTTGCAATTTGATATTTTCTCCCATCTGTCCCCTCCTCCCCTGCCCCCCTTGCCTCCGCCCGTCGACGCGCCCCCCGCCCGCGCTCGCCGGCCCACTGGGCTGGCCTTTCGGGCCGGCCGGGGAGGAGAGGGGGGGCAGCGGAAAGAAGGGGGAAGGGGAGGGTGAAGGGGGAAGGGGGTCAGGGGAAGTGGGTCAAACGCTCGGAAAAGGGCATGCATAAAAAGTTTCGGCGCTCCGCCCCGATTTCTTGGATCTGCTCTGGCCCCCCCCTGGCGCCTCCGGCGCCGCCCCTGCGGCGCTCCGCGCGCCAGGGAGGGGGGTCCAGCTCAGGTCCAGGAGATCCTCGCCGACCGTCGAAAGTTTATGTCTATGCCGAGTTCTGTTGCTCTGACAGAGGTTGACGGGTGCCTCTGTGCGGAGCGCCTGGGGCTTCCACTGGCACCTCTGGGTCCTCGGTGGCGTCCCCGAGCTTCCAGGGGACTTCCCGATCGCTCTTGGGGGAGGGAGCAGAATGGTGTGGTTCCGTCACCGCGCTTCCCTTGCACCTTCGCAGCGTGACTGGTCAGGCCCGGTGGGTCTTCGAGCACGCTCGGATTTTTTTGCCAAGACGATGAAAGAAGGAACCTCTCGAGTTCGGAAGGGGCTCGCTGTTCCTCAGGTCCTTGCATGGCTGTTCCTCTAGCGCTCCTCATGCAGCCAGGTTCCAAACAGTCGCTCCTTAGGGAGCGTCCCTTACGGTAGCAGTTTGACTATACCTCCGCCGAGGAGGAAACCCTTACTGGAGCGATGCTCTTTGGTCAGGCGATCGCAAGCATGGATCAAGGGGGCGTGGATCCGCGACTGGTCCCGTTTCCATGAGAAGTCGCGGATTTCCGCCGCCGAGCGAGGCGGCGCCGGCCGCATTTTAGGGAGGGCACCTCCCCCGTTCCATGGGTTTGGCGACCGGTTGCCAAGTCCATGGATTCTTGATCCATCTTTGCGCGCCCCCGATCCTTAGGGAGCGTTCCTTATGTAGGAGAACAACACGTGGCATAACATAACAACTCGGAGGTCCGTGCGGATTTCTCAGATCGGCTCTGGACCCCCCTCCCTGGCGCGCGGAGCGCGCCCGGGGCGGCGCGGGAGCGTTCGTGTATGACGATGGCCACGGCGTCGACGGCCTTTCTGAGCCTGCTGCGGAGGAGTCGCGCTGAGAGGGGGAGGGGGACGAGGAGGAGGAGGAGGAGGAGGAGGAGGAGGAGGAGGAGGAGGAGGAGGAGGAGGAGGAGGAGGAGGGGGAGGAGTGGGACGAGGCACATGCATGGAGAGAAAGAGCATGGAATGGCGCACCCGTGGCAGGGCGCATATCCCCTCCAGGCTCGAGAGCCTCCAGGTGGTCTCCAGTTTTTCCAGTTGTCTTCCACAGCTTCTCGAGTGACTCCAAGAGCCTCCGAGTGACCCTCGACCTCTGGCACCCCTGTAGGAGAGGGTTGTGCAAGAGGACGGTGGATGACGGCGTGGCCTCCCAAGACTTCCGGGGACTTGTTTCTAGGATCTGTGGGGGCCTCCACGACCATCTTAATGCTTTCTGTTGCTCACTCCTTTGCCTGCAGAGCTGCTTTGCCTTTGGAGGGCCTCCCGATGACTTCTGCTCCCGGGGGAGGGGTGGACGCCCCATGGGCCGGCGCAGGATCTACCCTTCTGGCTCACAGCATACCCGTGCGACCGGAACGACTTTGCTGGGGAGGTCGGCATGGTTTTTGAAGTCGAGACAGATCCGGTATGGGTCCATGCGCTGGGCCGCGCGGTACCACAAGGCCAGGCGGCCCTCACAGACACGGCCACAGTAAAGGTATGGGATGGGAGCACGGAGGCAATGTTGGCGAGTGTGGGTGTCGGGCCAGATTCAGCTGTACAGAACGGTTACGCGATGGAGAGCTTGCTGTCTCCACTGTATTTGCCCGTGGGAGTCTACCATCTCTCTCAGGACACCTGGGAGGGTATGGATTTGTGGGCCAATGGCGCTTTCACCCCGACGGTCGGAGATGACGTGTCGAGCGGGCTTACTTTCCTTGGCGGTTGCTTTGCCTGGACTGCATGGGAATTCCCCGACATTCGCGATGGAGCTACACAACGCGCTGGAATGTTGCAGCTGAACTTTGCGACGACGGCCATGTTGCACCCAGCAGCAGCAGCAGCAGCAGCAACAGCAGCAACAGCAGCAGCAACAGCAGCAGCAGCAGCGCCAGGGGCCGCCAGTGGTGTCGGTGGCCTGGCAAGGACCACTGGGGGCCTGCCGTGGCCTCAGGGATCCCAAGGGGAGGTGGTGCAAGAGGATTGTTGTGTGAAACAAGCCAGGCCCGACCACATGCACAGATCGAAGCCGAGAAAACGGCATACACAAAAACTTTCGGCGCTCCGCCCGGATTTCTTGGATCTGCTCTGGCCCCCTGGCGGCGCCTCCGGCGCAGCCCCTGGCGCGCTCCGCGCGCCAGGGAGGGGGGTCAAGCTCAGGTCCAAGAAATCCTCGCCGACCGTCAAAAGTTTATGTCTATTCCGATTTCTTTTGCTCTAGCAGAGGTTGACGGGTGCCTGTGCAGAGCGCCTGGAGCTTCCACTGGCACTTCTGTGGCCTCAGTGGCGTCCCCGAGCTTCCAGGGGACTTCCCGATCGCTCTTGGGGGAGGGAGCAAAATAGTGTGGTTCCGTCACCGCGCGCCTTTGCACTTTCGCAGCTTTTCTGGTCAGGCCCGGTGGGTCTTCGAGTACGCTCGGATTACTGCCAAGACTATGAAATAGGGAATTTTGGGGGTTCGGAAGGGGCTCGCTAATCCTCAGGTCCTTGCATGGCTGTTCCTCTAGCGCTCCTCGTGCAACCAGGTTCCACATATTCGCTTCTTAGGGAGCGTCCGTCATGGTAGCAGTTTGACTGTACCTCCGCCGAGGTGGAAACCCTTAATGGAGCGATGCTCTTTGGTCAGGCGATCGCAAACATGTATCAAGGGGGTGTGGATTCGCGACTGGTCCCGTTTCCATGGGAAACCGCGGATTTTCGCCGCCGAACGAGGCGGCAGCGGCCGCATTTTTGGGGAAGGGCACCTCCCCCGATCTATGGAATTAGCGACCGCTTGCCGAGTCCATGGATCCCCAGTCCATCTTTGCGCGCTCCCGATCCTTAGGGAGCGTCCCTTACGTAAGGAACAAAAAGTGGCATAACTAGATAAACATAACAACTCGGAGGTCCGCGCGGATTTCTCGGATCGGCGCTGGACCCCCCTCCCTGGCGCGCGGAGCGCGCCAGGGGCGGCGCAGGAGGCGGCGCCGGGGGGCCCCAGCGCCGATCCGAGAAATCCGCGCGGACCTCCGAGTTCTTATGTTTATGCTACTTTTTGTTCCCCTATTATGGTAGCAGCTTGACCGTACCCCCGCCGAGGAGGAGTGCTCAATGGAGCGATGCTCTTCGGTGGGGGGTGGACGGCGGTGGCGGTACTCTGCGAGAAGCCCGTGCGTCTGGCAGTGACCCTCACAGTGGGCGAGCTCTTTCACAGAGGGGCCCTGCGCACCGAGAGTCGAAGAGCAACAGAACGGCACGACTGAACTTCAGTCGGGCCTGTCCCTCTACAGGAGGAATATTCAAAACTAGGCAAAGAATAGCCTGGGGATGATGTTGGGGGTATTTTTGTTCTTGTGCATTGGAATAATGTGCTGGCTTTTTCAATTTTTTGTGTTAGTTGTTGTATGTCACATCCGCCTGTAGGAGGACATGCCGGACAGGCCCACCGGTAGGTTCGTGTCGTGTCGACCGGCGGCGACCCCGCCAGCAGCGTTCATTTTTGAACGCCGCGGGCGACCCAGATTCGTTCGATGTGTCATGGCGCCAACATCGCAGAGCGGATTTCGTGCGGACGACGTTCGGGTGGGCCCAGGGTGTCCTGGAGAATTTCGGTCGGGATTTTAAGGTTCATTTCGCGCGGATTCTTTTGGGTCAGGAAATACATCCACGCGAAATTAATTTCGTTTTTCGCTCGCCGTTTCGGGCATACATCCAAGCAGAAATCCGCTGCAGCACGTCTGCAAGGCCGGTGCAATGAAGAATCGTTCAATGTGGAACGATTTGGACGTTTCGGAAACGGCCGATCGTTCAAGGTTGAACGATTCCCGCGGTGTCAGAAACCAACGCCGATGACGGTTTGTCGCGAACCTGACGCAGCAACATAATTGCATAACTAAAAATACATCTCCAGGTTGTATTTTTTATTTGTTGTTTTGCCGATCGGCGCGGGCCCTCGCCCCCCCCTCCTCCCACCCATCATGGAGCAGATCTTGGCTGCTCTTGACGCATGTTTCGAGCAAGTGGAGCCTCCCCCATAATGGACGCCCTGCTGCAAAAAGTCGCACTAAGCAGATGTCTGGAGCCAGACCCCCCCCCTTCCCAATGTTGAAACGCCGATTCGTTTCGTTCACTTGCGCGGATCGGCGTTGGACACCCTCCCTGGAGCGCAGAGCCTGCCAGCGGCGACGAGGCGGATTCCCTTGAATATACGAAAGTTTTTGCTCGTGATGGGCCCATTTTCCACCACCGCTACCATATAAGGTGACCGTTTTTGTGTTCATTGTTTTGCCGATCGGCGCGGGCCCTCCGACCCGCTTCCCCCCCCCGGAGTGGATCTTGGCTGTTGTTGGCGTCTGCTTCGAGCGGGTGGAGCCCCTCCCCCATAGGACGCACTGTCGCAAACAGTCGCACTAAGCAGAGGTCCGCAGCCAGACCCGCCCCCAATGTCGAAACGCCGAATAACCGAAACTCTCGCCATAAGAAGGAGAGGGAGGAAGAGCAGGAGAAGGAGGATGAGGAGGAGGAGGAGGGCCTTTTCCTATCCTTTCCTCAGGTCATTTTCCGCGGTGCCCTCCAAGGCCTTTTTGCGTCGAGTCGTTTCTCCAGAGTCGCAAGAACGCCACATGTTCACTTATAAGGTCTGGCCACCGCAAAAAGAGGAGGAGCAAGCAGCAGGAGGAGGAGGAGGAGGAGGAGGGGGAGGAGGAGGAGGAGGAGGAGGAGGGCCTCCTCATCCTCCCTTCTCTTCCGTCCAACATATGGTAGTTGTGGTTGTGAATTTGCCCATCAGCTCGTGCCGCTGCTTCTTCTTCGAGGGGAGGTAGGATCAAGCCGGGCCTTCTCCCTCTACAGGAGGAGTATTCAAAAATACTGAAAATAGCCTGGGGACGTTTTTTTTGACAATTGTTTGAACATTTTCGGACTATGTTTTCGGCACTTCTAAGTTTTCGCTCACTGCAGGGGGACACGCCCGATTGAAAGGTAGAAGATTGCCCCTCGGAGGCCTGGAAAGCTTCGCGGGCGGGCCGTCTGGGGTCTCCGCGCCCCAGCGTTGCACGCGGAGGTGCCGCGCGCGGGACCGCTGCGCGGGAGGCTCTCGTCAAGGGCAGCTCGGTGGCCACGTGTGAACCCCCCCCCACGCCCCCCACCCCTCAGAAATCGTGGGGGGTCTGGGGCAGGGCTCACATGTGGGCCACCTGGCTCGAAGAAGAAAAGACGCCATAAACATAAACTTTTGGCGCTCGGCGCGGATTCCTTGGATCCGCGCTGGGCCTCCCCTGGCGGCGCCTCCGGCGCCGCCCCTGCCGCGCTCCGCGCGCCAGGGAGGGGGGTCCAGCACAGATCCAAGAAATCCGCGCGGAGCGCCAAAAGTGTATGTTTATGTAGTTGTTTCTTCCCCTGCTAGCAGCGTTAGGGGGGGGATGGGCCCAGGGTGGGGGATGCCTCGGCCCCTCGCGCATCGCGGGGCCCGCTGCGCGGAGTTGGGTGGCCTGGCTGTCGATGTGCTCGGCGGCTTCCCACGGCCTTGGGATGCCTTCCAGCTGCCGCGCCTCGTCGGGGGCGTTTTTCCAGGGTTAAGTCGGGCCTGTCCCTCTACAGGAGGAATGTTCAAAAAGCATGAAGAAATAGTATGGGGAAGTTTTTCACAATTTTTGAGCTTTGTCGTTGCATTTTCTGACTATTTGAAATTTGTTGTCCAAATGCCCCATGTCGGGGAACAGACCCGACCAACTTCTACGGGGTATGCAACGGGAGCTGCCCGCACGGCCGCCAGGGGCCCGAGCTATGGCCCGAAACCCGAAGGACAATTTTGGGGTTCAGGTGATCGTTTTTGTTGGCGAGAACACAACGCAGTTTTGTTCGTTGTCACAAAAACGCGGACCTGGGAACCTTCTACCCCTGCCGCCCCGCCGCTGGCGCCGCGGTTCGCCGCGGTGCCTGTGGTGGGGCGGGTTGGGTCGGTTGGGGGGTGCGTTTGGGGTGGCTCGCCTCAGGTCTTCATGGACTTCGTGTTCCTCGTCTTGTTCGTGTTCTTTGTCCACGTCTCCCTGCGGTGGGGGGAGGGTAAATATACCCCCGCGTCGCGCGCGCTGCCCCGAGGGCGCTTGTCGGCCGAACGCGAGGCTGGCGCCCTCGGTGCGCGCGTCGCGGGCCGCCGTGGCGGCTTTTGTTTCCGTATGACCGTGTCAGTATGACCGTGTCAATGAGGCCGTGTCAATGCGACCGTGCCTGGGCCGTGTCAATGCGACCGTGCCAATACGACCGTGTCAGTGCGACCGTGTCGATAAAGCCGTGTCAACGCGACCGTGCTTTGGCCGTGTCAATGCGACCGTGCCAATACGACCGTGTCAGTGAGACCGGGTCAATAAGGCCGTGTCAATGTGACCGTGCCTGGGCCGTGTCAATGCGACCGTGCCAATACGACCGTGTCAGTGCGACCGTGTCGATAAAGCCGTGTCAATGCGACCGTGCTATGGCCGTGTCAATGCGACCGTGCCAGTATGACCGCGTCAATGTGACCGTGTCGATGCGGCCGTGTCAATGCGACCGTGCCTGGGCCGTGTCGACGCGACCGCGCCAGTAAGATCGCGTCAATGCGACAGCGTCTGTAAGGCCGTGTCAATGCGACCGCGTCTTTTCGATTGCGTCAACGCAACGCGTCAATTACGCCGTGTCGTTGCGACCGTGCCAATTTCTCCGCGTCACTGCGTCCGTGTCTTGTGGGGCGTGTCAAGGGGACCGTGCCGTTGCGACCATGTCAACGCGTCCGTCTCGCCGCGACCGTATCAATGCGAATGTGTAAAAGCGAATGCGTCATTGCGACCGTGTCAGCGCGAC